AAAGCTATGAGGAAGTGGACTTGGGGGAAGTACTTGGAGGTATTCCATTCCTATAAGATTACAAAAAGATAATTGCTCAGGATGACCCCACCTTCTTGAGGTGGATACAAAACATTAATTTGGGTATACCCACCGTTGAAAATGTGCTATCAGATAATTAGGACCGTAGGTCTCCTTCTACCTATGACCTCTCTTAATCCTGTACATTGCTACAAAAAGCATCAATGGGAGAGTACACATAATTAGATCCCCAGATTTTACTAATTACCCCTTCTCTTAGTCCTGAACACAAAATGTAAAAGTGCAGTAAGACAACCACAACCACTCCACTCTTGCCCTGTTCCCCTCCCATACAACTCAACAAGCTAACTATAAACAGAAAGGCAATGTTTGGTTTTCCCCTTTCTCTTTTTCTTTTTCCTTTTACTTCTTTCCCTTTTTGTTCCCTTTCACTTTTTAAATCTTTTTTTCCTCCCACTTTTCTCTTCTCTTCTGTTTTTTTTAAATTTCCCCTGTAACAGATACCCTGTTATTGCCTGGCCATCAGACTTGTAACCTTGCAATAGTTGAACTTGCAACCCTATAACTCCAACATACGAATTGGAAAATGAACAGCCCTGTTAACTTGTTCGCATAACTGAACAAACTGTAGAACAAACTGTCGAACAAGAGAGCCGCCAATTGACTCATTGACTCTGTGCCAAACCACAACTTCAACATTCTAAGTGGTTCACTGGGTGGCCATCAATTCTTAGACGCGAACACGTCGCGGCACCCATCTTGTTTTGTCGAACGCGTCCAGCTGGATTTTGTCGTCAAGTGTCTTGAACTGGTTTTGTACACTCGAACTCTCGAACACCGCTGAGATTTCCAGACCCACGAAGATTCGTGCCAATTCATACAAAAGAGGAGGCGTTCAGTAAAAGAATTATATGAACAAGGTGGAACACGACCATCAAACTCACAAATGCTGATGGGGATGGTTGTTTTGTATTTTTAAACATACAAAAATAGACCGGCCACACCAGCTAAATGCATGGAACTATTTTGGGCAGGAGCCTTGTGTGCGGCCGGGCAGAAATGGGACTTTCATCTATCTCCCGAACCCCTGAACCGATTCACATGATTTTTTAATATGTTGGTCCCCTAACTATGCCCTTTCAATAATTATACGTTTTATGGGAATTGGATGCATATTTTTAATGTTTCAAAAAATGTGTAAAAAGTTTATTTTTTTGCTTGGAGATAATTGAGTTCATACAGTAATTAACCACAATTATCTCCCAAGCAGAGGGGAGGAATTTACTGTATTGAATGGGAGTGTTTAACTTTGTGACTGTAAACTATTGGCTGTTGTAGGGAAACTGCATCGAGCTAATCACTAGCTCTTGTAAGAGCTCTGCTATTCTCTCTCTCTCTACTGGTTCAGCTGATGGGACATCTGGAGCATACTGCAGCACAGCCTCTCGCCAGGGAAAAGGACATCTCCGACGGCATATACCCATCTGATACACAGGGTGCCGTTACATCCCCCTTCCTTTCTTTCTTAAAATTTATATGAAACAACATGTCTACATATGAGGGGACTCATAATTAATGAAGTATATACAAATTATAATTCAAGTATCTACAAAATAATCGAGGGTCGATGAGTCTCTGATGCAGATTCAGAGCCCTCAATTAAACACTTCACTGTTATGTAAGAAAAAAGAAACAGAGAGTATGATGCTCAGTTACTGATGAACACATAGAAAGTAAATATCAAGTTATTCTCATAGCAACTTTGTTGGAACTTAGGGAAGAACTTGAAAGTTAGAAACAAAGTTGCTGTGCACTACTCATTTGAACATTGTGGGGCAGTATTCACTAAACAGTGCTATAAATGTGAGTGGGGCAATTCGATTCCAAAATAATACTAATTGGCCACCTATATAAGAAAAAAAAAATTAGGAGAAAGCATCTCACTGAGAAAGCTCATGAGAAGTGAAATGCATTTTGGCTTATATATATATATATATATATATATATATATATATATAAATTTATTTTTATTTTTTACTTTTTGCAGATTTTAATCTTTTGTTTGACAATAAATTGTAATAGTACTATTTCAAGTCCTCTGGAGCTCCAGGAGTCTTCATTGTGGTGGTGCTAAACTTTTTTACTGGCACTTTACCTGTACACTCAGAGCCAGGAGTTTAAGGCTCTGTGAAAGGTGAGCTCAATTTTTAACTTTAAGAAGAAAGTTATTTTATATATTATACATTAGTCGCCTCTCTCTTTTATCTCTGTTTTGAGTTTTCATCAGATCAAAGCAGTGGTGTGATGCTGCCCTTAAAGCATAAAGGTGCTTGGGTTTAGGCTTCAGTACATGTGAGTGGTCTGATTCATTGTATATACTTGCACGGTGTACAGTTACAATCTGTACTACATTCAGTTTTTTCTGTACTTGACATATATCTTTGTGTATATCAAGGTTGCGAGAGGTAAGCAGCCTGTTTTTATCCAGCACTCCACTAAGCGTATAAGAATTTTTCACTTGTACCACTTGGTATAATGTTTAGTGGTGTGTGTGGGAAGTAGGGTACCGTAGAGCTGCTGGTTTACAATTTGCACTGAAACCGTTAACAAGCCTGAGTACGAAGAAGTCATGAAGACATTTTTAAATAATTAGGAAACAGATACCAACATACAAAGAATAGAAAACACTTACATTGTGAGAACAAAATAAATATATATAGACTGAAATGTAACACATTGAGCAACCCAAGCCACATTGTTTGCAAAAAAAGAGGAAGTGCCATTATCTGTGTTTGCAGTTTTCAAATGCATTCAAAACAGTAAGCAATATTGCTGTGTATTTTAGCTGTAGCGCAAGATAAATAATCAATTTCCTATCAGGAGTTGGTTGTGTAAACATTCACCCTTAAATTACATGGCAGCGATGCGTTAAATGTATACAGTAACCTGTGCAATCATCTAATGGGTTTGATACTTATAGCCTGCAGTACATTGCATAGCAATCTGTAAAAACCCTATGAACAGTAATCAACTAATAATCCCAGATGCCTCCTTCAGATATTTTCAGATATTTTCATTAATATCTGAGTTGGAGGGGGCATCTGGGAACTTACTACTAGATAACCAACTAATGGTGCTGTCAGCAGAGTATGCCCTTTGTTGGGCAGCCTGCATGATTGGCAGGCAGCCTGACATGCATTCACGCCAGGCCGACCTTCTAAATCTTTGGGCATGTTTGTCCCTCTGGGCAGTTCTGGATACATGATTTGCTTCAGTGACCCATTGACATCCTTCTTCACCGGACGCTGCTGTTAGGGATATGGATTTACTTGAAGGATGAAAGCAAGAGATAAGCATATGGTATGTATTTTTTATAGCTATATCTTGTGAGTTTCCCACCACATCCACCTGACACATGACGCTTTGGAGGTATGATGGTTTCAATGTTTTCTGTCAATAAGATTCTGTAATTAGGCCCATCTTAATAGCCATTACTGGGCCCAATAGGCTCTTAATTTGGCCCTGCCCCTTTCTTTAGCCTTACATTTATAAACTAGAATTCTGAAATCACCACCCTTTATCTGCTAACAATTTCACCAGCTTTCAATTGCTCGCATTAAACATTGAATTTTCTGATAAGTTCTTAATGATGAAATATATTATTTTCCTTTCAAATAAATAAGTGGTTAGATCTGATAACATTTTAAAAACTATAAAACGAATAGCACAATCGATAATAAGTATTAATAATTATTTTCTTTCAGCAAATGCATTTCAAGATGTAAACACTGAAAATCAGTTTATAGATAAATATAGACGTGTGAATTTGGTTTCAAACAAATTTGGATATGTCTGAATTTTGGGTGGTCTAAATTCCCTAACTCAGAGACCTACCTTACTGAGACTGATCAATGTGTGAGGCTTGGGAATTCCTGGTGAGAAGTTCTAGAAGAGATTTTTGTGCAAAAGTACAAAGTTAGACTAATCATTCCTTTGAACATGGTCACAATCCATTCACAAGCACACATCCTTCTCTACTATAAGCTGCTTTTAACCACAAGATGAATTTAAAGGGATTCCTGGTGGGTCCATTGGACTCAGGCAGCAATTGGGAGATGCAATATTTGATGCTCTAGGTGAGGGGTAGGCACCCTATGGCACTCTATAAGTTGTGGACTTTATCTCCCATTAATACTGACATATTTTCTTTAGCCTACTAACCCTAGCTTTGCTAAATACCGTTCTGTCTCCCCTATCCATGACCAGCAAGGATATTGATGTTTCTATGTGATGTCTGGGTAACTAAAATAATACCTAGATTTCAGTAAGGCTTTTGATACCATTGCACATAGAAGGCTTATCAATAAACTGCAATCTTTAAGTTTGGATTCCAATATTGTTGAATGGGTAAGGCAGTGGCTGAGTGACAGGCAACAGAGGGTTGTAGTCAATGGAGTATATTCAAAGCATGGACTTGTCACCAGTGGGGTACCTCCGGGATCTGTACTTGGACCCATTCTCTTTATTATTTCTATTAGTGATATTGCAGAAGGTCTTGATGGTAAGGTATGTCTTTTTGCTGATGATACTAAGATATGTAACATGGCTGATGTTACAGGAGGGATAAGCCAAATGGCAAATGATTTAGGTAAACTAGAAAAATGGTCAGAATTGTGGCAACTGACATTTAATGTGGATAAGTGCAAGATAATGCATCTTGGACGTAAAAACCCAAGGGCAGAGTACAGAATATTTGATAGAGTCCTAACCTCAACATATGAGGAAAGGGATTTAGGGGTGATTATTTCTGATGACTTAAAGGTAGGCAGACAATGTAATAGAGCAGCAGGAAATGCTAGCAGAATGCTTGGTTGTATAGGGAGAGGTATTAGCAGTAGAAAGAGGGAAGTGCTCATGCCATTGTACAGAACACTGGTGAGACCTCACTTGGAGTATTGTACACAGTACTGGAGACCGTATCTTCAGAAGGATATTGATACCTTAGAGGGTTCAGAGAAGGGCTACTAAACTGGTTCATGGATTGCGGGATAAAACTTACCAGGAAAGGTTAAAGGATCTTAACATGTATAGCTTGGAGGAAAGACGAGACAGGGGGGATATGATAGAAACATTTAAATACATAAAGGGAATCAACACAGTAAAGGAGGAGACTATATTTAAAAGAAGAAAAACTACCACAACAAGAGGACATAGTCTTAAATTAGAGGGACAAAGGTTTAAAAATAATATCAGGAAGTATTACTTTACTGAGAGGGTAGTGGATGCATGGAATAGCCTTCCAGCTGAAGTGGTAGAGGTTAACACAGTAAAGGAGTTTAAGCATGCGTGGGATAGGCATAAGGCTATCCTAACTATAAGATAAGGCTAGGGACTAATGAAAGTATTTAGAAAATTGGGCAGACTAGATGGGCCGAATGGTTCTTATCTGCCGTCACATTCTATGTTTCTATGTTTCTAGGTTAAAGTGTTCCCTAGAGACACTCAAAGTTACAAGTGTTTCAATGAAAAAAAAACAAAAGGAAAAATGTGTGTAAAATCACCAGAAGTGATAAGAAATGGTACAACCTGTGTAGTAGTCAGTAGAATCTACCATAAACACCATATTTCTGGTGGAATAAAATACACATACAGGGAGTGCAGAATTATTAGGCAAGTTGTATTTTTGAGGATTAATTTTATTATTGAACAACAACCATGTTCTCAATGAACCCAAAAAACTCATTAATATCAAAGCTGAATATTTTTGGAAGTAGTTTTTAGTTTGTTTTTAGTTATAGCTATGTTAGGGGGATATCTGTGTGTGCAGGTGACTATTACTGTGCATAATTATTAGGCAACTTAACAAAAAACAAATATATACCCATTTCAATTATTTATTATTACCAGTGAAACCAATATAACATCTCAACATTCACAAATATACATTTCTGACATTCAAAAACAAAACAAAACAAATCAGTGACCAATATAGCCACCTTTCTTTGCAAGGACACTCAAAAGCCTGCCATCCATGGATTCTGTCAGTGTTTTGATCTGTTCACCATCAACATTGCGTGCAGCAGCAACCACAGCCTCCCAGACACTGTTCAGAGAGGTGTACTGTTTTCCCTCCTTGTAAATCTCACATTTGATGATGGACCACAGGTTCTCAATGGGGTTCAGATCAGGTGAACAAGGAGGCCATGTCATTAGATTTTCTTCTTTTATACCCTTTCTTGCCAGCCACGCTGTGGAGTACTTGGACGCGTGTGATGGAGCATTGTCCTGCATGAAAATCATGTTTTTCTTGAAGGATGCAGACTTCTTCCTGTACCACTGCATGAAGAAGGTGTCTTCCAGGAACTGGCAGTAGGACTGGGAGTTGAGCTTGACTCCATCCTCAACCCGAAAAGGCCCCACAAGCTCATCTTTGATGATACCAGCCCAAACCAGTACTCCACCTCCACCTTGCTGGCGTCTGAGTCGGACTGGAGCTCTCTGCCCTTTACCAATCCAGCCACGGGCCCATCCATCTGGCCCATCAAGACTCACTCTCATTTCATCAGTCCATAAAACCTTAGAAAAATCAGTCTTGAGATATTTCTTGGCCCAGTCTTGACGTTTCAGCTTGTGTGTCTTGTTCAGTGGTGGTCGTCTTTCAGCCTTTCTTACCTTGGCCATGTCTCTGAGTATTGCACACCTTGTGCTTTTGGGCACTCCAGTGATGTTGCAGCTCTGAAATATGGCCAAACTGGTGGCAAGTGGCATCGTGGCAGCTGCACGCTTGACTTTTCTCAGTTCATGGGCAGTTATTTTGCGCCTTGGTTTTTCCACACGCTTCTTGCGACCCTGTTGACTATTTTGAATGAAACGCTTGATTGTTCGATGATCACGCTTCAGAAGCTTTGCAATTTTAAGAGTGCTGCATCCCTCTGCAAGATATCTCACTATTTTTTACTTTTCTGAGCCTGTCAAGTCCTTCTTTTGACCCATTTTGCCAAAGGAAAGGAAGTTGCCTAATAATTATGCACATATGTAAATGGACAAAATAGGGATACAGCTGAATGGCTAAAAAATATAAGAATACATAGTACATAGTGAAGTACCGTCACAATAATAAAATATAAACTTCAATGATTGCACTCACAAAATAGTGATGGATAATGCGCCTTTAAGCCCTCAAGGGCTGCAGTGGTATTCACCCTCCACGAATAGGTTGCTCTGTCTTCAAAGAAGTGGGAGTATGCCAGTGAAGTATAAAAAATTTTTTTTTTTTTTTATTATTATTAAAAGGCACTAATAAGCCTATATCAAAAAATCAATAGTTAAAAGTATACAAATAATACTGCATCTAACGCGTTTCGTCCATACAAATTGGACTTCATCAGAGAGAATTTTTTGCAGTATACACAATATGTCAAATACAAATAATAATTATGCACACCTGATATAGGGTGTTGATGTCATTAGACCACACCCCTTCTCATTACAGAGATGCACATCACCTAATATGCTTAATTGGTAGTAGGCTTTCGAGCCTATACAGCTTGGAGTAAGACAACATGCATAAAGAGGATGATGTGGTCAAAATACTCATTTGCCTAATAATTCTGCACTCCCTGTATAGTGCAATACAATAAGCACAAGCAGGGGGGTAAGGGGTTGTAGGAAATTCAATAGAAAGTAGCAAATTCAGGCGTATCTCCCTCAATATTAGGATAATTTTGTAAATACAGGGAATCTTCCAGCCATAGAAATCCTGATATGGATGTATCTTTATGGATAACTCAAAATATAAGTAGAGATGAGAGATAGTGCAGAAGTAGCACGTACAATGTGTCAAAAGACAAACAGCATGTCTCCACATCAAAGTGCTATCCGGATTCTCAGCAGATGGCAAAGCAGCAATCAGGATCACAGACACAGAATAAAATAAAATAAAAGTCTATAAACAAGTTGATAGTTGAAATCCTAAAATCGCGTTTCGTCCCGTTCTGAACTTCCTCTGGGATGTATGATCTTGATCCATCAGGTATCTTCTTATATTCCGGTGAAAATTTGCGGCAGTTGATGGCATATGTTCCACTGTGGAACGCATGTTACACTTCCGTGTATACACGTCACTTCCGGTTGATGAAACTTCCGGTTGACGGTATTCCTACGTGGGAATATCAGGAACACAGCATCAATAAGAGGCATCAGGAGAAATTGAGTTTTTTTCATGGAAAATCATAATATACAGAAGAATAATACAATAAAATAATACAATGTAATACTATTTTTAAGGCAGAATATGTCAGTCATGGGTACCAACTGTTGGGGGCCAGACTATAAAAAATAGGAACAAATTCCTATGCACACTGCACACACACATAAGGACATAAATACACACACATGTGCATACATACATAAACAGACAGACACAGACATACACATACATACATAGATGTGGACATACATACCCTCACATACATACTGACATATATACATACATACACATACATACAAATACATACATACAGACATACATACATACATACTGACATACATACATACATACACACATACATACATACCCACATACATACATACATACATACATACACACATACATGCACACATACATACTGACATAGCTATTTTTTCTTACCTTTTTTGCAGGAGGGTGGCTGTGGCTGATGGGAGTCGGCGTTGCTCACGTGCCCTGTCTCTCTTCCCTTCCGCGCGGAGGGAGCTTGGAGGAAGTGACCACCGGCCTTCACTTCCTTCCAGCACAACTTGCGGCTGAATTTTTTTTAAAGGGGCCCTGTCACGCTATTCCACGGCCGCAGCGCTGACCGAGCCCCTGAAGAGTAAGGGCCCTTCGGGCCGTAGTTTTAGGACCCCTGGTATAAAGATTGCCACAATACAGCATCTGAATAGCTTCTATTAAATGCAAACTGCAATTTACTTTTCTCTGCAATATCATTTATGAATTCCATGTTACTCACCAGATCAGTTATTTCTGTCTGTTGCGTTGATTCACCTACACAGCTGCGCTTAGCTTCACAGTCTTAGCTCAACACACGTTTCGGCGCTATGTTGCACCTTTATCAAGAGCATTGTATTCCTCCAAATTGCGTCAAACGGCCAATCCGGTACCGTGACTTCAGGTGGGAGATGACTAAAGAATACTAGCGTCATGTAGCCAATTCAGTAACACCACGTCACGGTAGGCTGGTAAAACCCCCGAAATAGACTGCAGGCACTGAGACCGCCTGTGTACCAGATTAACCCTTAAGAGTTTAAAGGCACCAGGAATAATTTACCCTATGCATAAATACAGGGCTCTAGATTAAAATCATACTATGTTGGTAAAAGGTACATTATAAATTAGGATCCCTTTGTATTGTTATAAGTTAGCAGGCCATGATGGATGTACATATTATTGCGGATCTGGAAATATATATCTTATAATCCAATATTTTGAAAAAAAAGGAGGGGCACTATGTGGTTCAGATGTCAAGATAGATGCTGATTGAATACATCATCATAATTGTAGATTTTACAAAAATACATAGGATGTCAGCATCAATAAGTAAGGACCAAAGATCATGGTTGTCAATTGGGACATAGGAGAATATATAATGACATAAATAAAGTGAAGTTACAACCTACATACTTTGATAAAGTTCTTGCCTCATTAGTAGTAATATTGATCATAGTAACAGTATTCAATACTGAGATCAGTAAGTGGTTATCCTGCCCTATGCGAACTTACAATACAAAGTCCAAAGATCATAGGCGTGCACATGGGGTGTGCCGGGTGTGCTTGGGCACACCCTAATCCCCGCGGCACACCTATGTATATTGAGACCGGCAAGGGAGATCTCAGGATCTCCCCTGTCGGCTCATGCAGAGCCGGCGCTATCCGAGCGCCGGCTCTGCTCTCAGCCTCCCTCCCTACCCACAGGCAGGGAGGGAAGCAGGAGAGGACCCGGGGAGCTATTGCCGGCAGCTCCGCCGGGTTCCTCTTGCGAGATATGAGCGTTGCCACGGCAATGCTCAAATCTCGCGAGAGTGAACTCTAGTCCCACAGGGGCTAGAGTTCACTCTCCACTGGACCACCAGGGAAA